ATTCCATTCCTGCAATACCTCAACGTAGGCAGGACACCTTCATAGTTTTATCGAGTTGAGAATGAACGCCCCATGAAGCTGCTGACATGCTGGCATCACATGCATTATGATAACTGCAAAAGTACACGGAACACGTTATCAAGGTCATTGGTAAGTAGCTTGGTGACATATCTCGTGCATGCGGTACAACCATAGAACCATACTAATTCCTATAGGGGCAGTTCTCCCGTTATCTCTAATATTTGCATGGTCAGCATGTTCATCATCATCATAATTATCATCATAATCATCATCATCAGCAGCAGCGGCCAGACTGGGCCCACTACATGACAAAGGTCTCTCCCATGTTCCGCCAATTCAAACGAATGGTTAAGTTTTAATATTGTTTAAGCTTAAATGCGTTAATGCCAACATGACGGCAGAGCGTATTTTTATGCTGACAAAAGGGGTGTTCAAACGAAACTGAACGGTTTCTCCACGCGCACTGATCAGTCATGAATATGAAGGAAATTAAGATTCGGTGAAGGCGGACCAAGACCCTCTAAGTCTGCTGGTATTAGTTGAAACAGTGCACCGCTGGAGCACCTTGTGTGTTTGCATCGAATACGAAACACTCGGCCGCACTGGTCGTCAGCATTCACGCTTGACAAGCGTGAGGAGAACTTTCTGTGTTCACTTGTGCGCACGTATGCAATGTATTCCTTGCTGAGGAGGTTATTAACGTATGTGAGGTACTGAACTGCTCGCGAGAAAAAGATCAGGCTATGCATTGAGTAATACAGCATTCGCCTCTTTCGTGTGCGGGCATCGCTGAGAATCAACGTGAAGAGATATTTCTCCCTCCAGTATCTAATGAAATAATGTATTTGTCTGTATACAGTAATTTGTGCCTCGTTTTTTTTTTTACGAAAAGGCACATCATTCACACCTTTACACCCCTGCCTCTGGCTATCTAAAGGTGGACCTAGAGAATGCGTTGTGGCTTTCGTTTTCGACATGCACTCAGGCGGATACATTACTAGTTTGAGCATGATATTACAGCAGCAGCAATTAAGGGTGTAGATAAAGCAGTTCCTCGCCAATTCCTTCTTTACTCAGCGATGTGAATATGGGCATAAGATGACTCGTAGCACTTGAGCGAGAAAAAATATAAAAAAAGGACAATGATAATAATGACATGATCGCACCCCATTGTAGTAGGAGTGCGGGTGGCCCAGCTCTCGGATCGAGACTCAGGAATGCCTGATCTTTTGGGCTATAGATATTTCCCAGGAGGGAGTTGTGGTAGGGACGTTTCTTACAAATTTACCGTGCTCGATATCAGCCAAGCCATTTTAAAGAATACTACTTTATTGTTAATTTTGAGGCTCTGGCTTAATAATGCCTGAAGGTTAAAAAATGGTTCGTATAGACGAAAACGTTCTCTATTTTCAGAAATATACGTAATTGCGTTCTCAATCCATTATTTCAGGCGTTGTGCCCGTTGTATTACCATTCCATTCCAGGATCGCAAAAATGTGGAATCATTCCAATTCTGGAGTGGAAACTCCGCAACCCTTCTTAATATGTACGAAGAAGTCACTCCAACTTGCAACGAGTAATTAGTATGTGGGGTTAACGTTTCCAAACCACTATATGATCATGAGAGACGCTGTAGTGGAGGGATCCGGAAATTTCGACCACCTGGGGTTCTTTAACGTGCGCCCAAATATGAGCACACGGGCCGACAGCATTTTCGCCTCCATCGAAAATGCGACTGCCGCAGCCGGCATTCGATCCAGCAACCTGCGAGTCAGCAGCCGAATACCTTAGCCACTAGACTACCGCGGCGGGGCCGAACTTGCAATGCTTGGACCAAAGCAATAGAAATTCACAGCATATCCACGGAGCGAACGATGGTGAGTGGAACGAAGCGTCCATCTATATCCATCCGTCCGTCGGTCCATGTGCCTGCCTGCCTGCCTTCCTGCCTGCCTGCCTGCCTGCCTTTCTGTCTGTCTGTCTGTCTGTCTGTCTGTCTGTCTGTCTGTCTGCCTGTCTGTCTGTCTGTCTGTCTGTCTGTCTGTCTGTCTGTCTGTCTGTCTGTCTGTCTGTCTGTCTGTCTGTCTGTCTGTCTGTCCGTCCGTCCGTCCGTTCGTCCATCCGTCCGTCCGTCCGTCCGTCCGTCCGTCCACTCATACCACAGTAGAGGACGCATCGGACGGACGTTTCACCCCACCCATCATAATTCACTCCTTGGATATGCGGTGAGTTTCTGATAATAACAGCGCCATATATCCTGTTTATTCGTCAACTCTACGGAAATTGCTAACGCCATCTAGTGATATTATTCCCAAAAACACATAAACACAGCGCTATCTAGTGAGCAATTCTTAAAAATAACTAGAATGTGGCTACAACATACTACGAGGGAATGGCCCACCACACCCTAAAGAGCTTGCCCCCCCCCCCCCCAAAAAAAAAATTCATATAAGCCATTACTCACTGATTTGCATGACATCGACTCCCAGAATGAGTGGGATCTGCGGCATTCACTCAGTAAACGTCATTCGCGGCACGATAAACTCGCGACACAGCGAGGGGCGCAGTGTTGTGCAGCAGCGAGACGTTGCTGGCGCTTCCAGCTTAGGCCTAGGCGAACTTTTATGCAGCCGCCAATACGCACGCGCCAAAGCTGTCAAAAAGGCTGTCATAACCTGCACCGAGGAAGAGAAAGTGAAGGTAGCCTGAACAGACCCGGAGTTAATCAGCGGGTCATCGTCTCATCGTCTCTGCAACGTGCGTTACTCTTCTTTCTGAAGTATGTGGGCGGATATGCTCTGACGCCCATGCCCTTCGCTAAGTGCACGCCCACGTAAGCGGACAACGTCATCAGCAGCCCGCGTTTCGCTTTGGCAGTCGAGATCGTCATTAATCATCGCAATACACACACCACCGAGTGGTGTTCCGTGGGTGGCCCGGCATCATCACGTCCGGGCCACCCCGCGCGAGAGTGGTCTATAGACCTTTGCGCATTATGCGCTTATTTGCGAGGCAGAAACGATGATCGCAAGCAAGCACCCGGTGTACACCAGTGCTGCTATCAGTGTAATATGATACTCTCGATGGAATAGGCTATGATTAAATGCAGCGAGTGGACTTCATTAGTTGTAACTTTCGTGGGGCGGAGATCGCTGGGAGGGATACCCTGTTCTATGCTATAACTGTGTGAAAAATGACAAACAAAGGAAACGCTATAGGTTGGTGTGATCGAGCTTCAACAAAGAGGGTCATGAATGTATCGGGAGTTTACGGTGTGCATACGGAAACAGGCGTGGCTCGTGGGTGAATACCTCAGTCATGTGTGTACGTTGTTGACTGTTCATGCGAGATTCTTTCAGTCTCCACCACCATCCTTTAGAGCATTTTTAAAGGAATATCGCCAAAAGGACGCGCCTCCCGTGAAACTATAATTTTTTCCAGAGGAAGTTCAGGGAAACGATCAACTAATAATAACAATAATTTCCTTTCTCATGATGACTGCCTTCACGAAACCCTTTCTTCCACGAACAATCATACAGTGAAATAACCTTAGCATATAAATCGTACAAGCATACTTTTTGTCAGTCTCTTCATGCCATCGTTATAGTTTAAATGTCAGGATATAGCAGCTTGGGTTTCTTGGGACTACATTATCGAAGGAAAACAAAACAGATCCCGCGTATTTTGGGAATCAACGTTATGCGAAGCACGCGGATTGATTGATTGATATGTGGGATTTAACGTCCCAAAACCACCATATGATTATGAGAGACGCCGTAGTGGAGGGCTCCGGAGATTTCGACCACCTGGGGTTCTTTAACGTGCACCCAATTCTGAGCACACGGGCCTACAACATTTCCGCCTCCATCGGAAATGCAGCCGCCGCAGCCGGGATTCGAACCCGCGCCCTGCGGGTCAGCAGCCGAGTACCTTAGCCACTAGACCACCGCGGCGGGGTAAAAGCACGCGGAGAGAAGGTGACCATGTTGTAATGTTTTGAGCGACACGTCATGAAATTATGCTAAATATATGTGTAAATGTTTCAGCGACAGAGATATGTTGAAGAGTTGTAGATGTTAATATAGCAAATTGTTTGCACGTGTGTAATGAGGCTAAGAGGAACACGAATATAATCAAAACCAGAAACGATAAGCTGTTATGAAGCGCTGGTGCTCGCGAGGATGATATCCCTGGGCATTGCTACATAAATCTACTTCAGCGCATGGCACCTAACTACTATAGACGTTAACCCAACGTGACGGCTATATCGTATGAGTACATGTGTAACGTTTATAAAGTTGGGTAGCCAGAACTTAAAGAGAAAATGTGGCAATACATTGGCTGACGAGTTACTCAGAAACAACATTTGTTTCTTTCCACGAGACGTTCACGTGCTCGGTTTCCTGATGTATTATCGGTGATTTATCTTAGCACTTCTATCGCGCCATTGTATATGGTCACTGCGTATTTTATCGTGTTTTTTTTTCGGTGCACATGTGTGTGATGTATGTACATAAGCTAGGCGTTCGTCTCATTACACGAACAGTTATTTGTACTGCTTTCGTTTGTCTCTTTCCTCTTTCTTAGTGTTTTTATGCAGTCATTTTTCTTCATAATGAATCGCCACAAGGCCTACGGTCATTTTCTTCCACGATTTGCTCACATTCGCTCTACAAAAATCTCAAACCTGGCGCCGAGGAAAAGAAGGAGCGCCATCTTTCGACGTCAATTAAAACCCTGCTGCTCGAGACGCCTTTTCTTGCTATGCGCGCGTACCTCGAAAGATCGCTGTTCCGTCACTCCTTCCTCGCCTTCTCCCTCCGTTTTTCTCTCCTCCTCTTCCTTCTCACACCAACCTGTTTCTCTCGGCACCATGTGAGACAGAGGGTTTGTTAGCATGTCTAACGCCCGGTTTCTTAAGCGTGTTATTTTTTTTTTTCTTCATTTCTCTCTCGCAGGTGGGGACCGAGTGAGGAGTATCCGTACTCTCCCATCCTGCCGGCACGACCGGCTTCACGAGCGAAGACGGCGGAGCAGCTCTCTCAGACTAGCCTCATTCAGCGATGGCCTCGGTAGCCTAAGCGCAACGTCTCAACGTGCAACGGCCGCATTGCGCTCAGTGTGTGTGTGCCACTCGCTCAGCCTTGTTCGAAACGTGTTTCCTATCGCCGGGGCACTTAATTGCCGATCGAATTCTCGCGGCTCGGCAAGCCTGCACCGTATCTGGACTACCCCGTCCTCCCGATAAGCTCCTGCTGGGATGGACTACCCGGTCGCCTAGTCCGCGGCTCTGGTTCTTTCTTCTCGGTGTTTGGTGGCATCTTCGACTGTGCTCGATTGTGTTTCAGGATCTCGTTGCGTTCGAACATGCAACACGGCGGGCCCGTTATGGCTGCGCCGGCATCTCCCGTGTCCGTGATGGTGAACGGCTCTCCGGTTGCCCTGAAGACGACGACGGCCGATCTGAGTGTCAGCCCGACGAGTCCCGTGCCCCACGTGGTTCGCGTGTCCGTGGTCCCGGCTTCGGCGGCGGTGTCGCCCCAGTCTCCCGCGACCGCTGCGACGACGGCGGAATCCGACGAGCGCAGCAGCAGCGGCGCGTCTAGCGGCACGGGCAGCGACGACGAGGCGCCCTACGACAGCGACTCCGGCGCCGAGATGAAGTTCCACCTGCGCGAACTCGAGGATACCCCGTCGTCTTCGCCCGACGGCAGCGGCGTCAGCTGCGGACGTCCGCTGGACGTCGAGAAGGCCATCCTGTCCCGCCAGGGCACTGTTCGCGGAGTGCGCAACTTGGTCAGGGCCTCCATCAAGTGCATCGCCGACTGCCAAGAGGGCAAGGTGAGCAGCGGCGAATCCTCTTTTGCGCACATGCGCCGGTCTTTAGGTCACACATATGCCAACGCGGAAAGATCTCGTACTTCACTCTGTTCGTGTCCGGCTGTGAGGCTATAGACTCCACCGGAACAAGCGCTGCGGTGAACTTGGTCCCGTGCCTGCTTGGCGGCCGACGGTGTAACCAGGCAGTTAACGAGTGGTAGGGGGAGATGGTGGCTTTCCGCCGGCTCGTTAACCTGTTTCGATGCTCGTATGGGTAACAACCAGATTTCGGGGCCAGTTCCCATGCACCCTCTCCCGTGACTATGCTACTGTTGGAATGCATGGCTGCTGAAAAAGAACAGCGATCGTGTCTGTTAACATTGTGCACTATGGAAACGGAGGAATAAGCTGAAGCAAGCATCAATTTGTATGAAATGTGGGAAATGGGTATGATCGCCCCTGTGTCGGAAAACAAATAATAGTTTCTGTTTCCGGGCATTTGTTTCATTGCCTTACTGGAGATATCCAAAACTCATGAAGTTACACGCAAGCTCGTTTTAGCAACGCGTTAATTTCGGGTACTCTGTCGAACGTCGTGCGGTCGCTTTACAAGGCGGCACAATGTGAATTGCCTTTTCCTTTTTCCCGCAATGTTGCTCGTGGATCAATTGGCTCATATCATTCAGGTAACTATGTCACTCGCGTTGAGTCTCGCATTACGTCCATTTATATCGCGTTGCATGCAAGGAGAGACGGGCACGTCAGCGTGGAAAAGCGTCATTGTCGCTTGCTTTCTCGGTTGTCCGCGCAGTCAAATTGGGCCCGCGATGTCCACGACACGCACTGGCGAATTAGCGTGCGTACACAATTCGGCGTTGCCACGAACAAAGACGGTGTCGTTTGTAGCTGGGAACAGAAGGCTACTCGTGTGACCAACGCTGTTGAAACACAATGCCTTACTCTCTTGTTTGTGTTTTTTTACATTTGTACTTATTATTCCGCTTTACGTGTGGACCGTTTTTTCTGTGTTTTTCACCTGTTTCACATACTCTTGATCAGGTTTATTTGAGTCTATTTCACGTATTTGACTCCTTGTTTATGTCGGCTTTGCTTCTGTTTAATAACTTCTTTACGTCTATTCCACATCTTCTTCAAGTCTCATTCACATGTTTCTCATGTACGTTTTACGCCTGCAGTTTTACAACTTATTTATGTCTATTTCACAAATTCTGCAGATCCTTATCGCGTCTTCTTCATATCTGTATTACACCTAATACACATATTCTTTATCAGACCTATATACGCCATGTATTATTCGCATCTGTTTCCCAATCTTGTTCTTGTTCACCTTCTACAGTGGGGAAATTAGCCTATAATTTATTTGATTACTGTAAAATTGAGCGTATGTGACATAGGCCCAAACAACGAAACGTTCCTTTCCTTTGACCGCGTCCTCTCCTTACGTGAGGCTTCCTTACAACCAAGTACCGACGGAGGAAGCAAGCGTACTCTGAAAGCTCCCTTAAACCGTCCTCGCGGGAGGAATGGTTGCCGCGCTCCTGCGTTCGAGATGATCTAATATAAGCTTTGCTCACAAGCGTTTATTCTGTAAAAAAAAGTTGGGTCACCACATCACTTCCAAATTGAAGTGTTAATATAGAGACGCGTGTACGCTTTCTTTCAACAACGATTACTGAATGTGAAAAGCCACCGTAGTCGAGCGCAAAACGTGGTGCATTCTAGCAACACTGCGCGCCATCGTGCCTGGCACTAGAGTGCCTAGAGTAGAACATTCTAGGCACTCTACTGGCACCGTGCACGCACGCTCGCCGCTCGTGTCTCCCCGCAGAGGTGGGGTGGAACGGTTGCCTCGAAAACGAAAACATCACGTGGGCTAGCTGTGAGGCGAAGCGCTCGTTCAGGGCAAGGAGCGGACCTAAGGGCGCACGAAGGTAGCCCCAAAGCAACCTTAAGCTGAGGAAGCGCCAAGGAAGCCTTCGCCGAGGGCTCCTCAGTGAAAAAGCTTTCAGAGTGACATAAGGCGGCCTCACAAAAATGAAGGCTTCCTCACTGAGGAAAAGAACGTTTCGTTGTTTGGCCCATAGTTTTCTTTACACGTGCATTGCGCCTGTTTCACATCTTCTTCAAGTCTGTATTGCATCTTATCTTTCACTTGTGTTTCACGTTCTCACGAGCATCACGTCTCACAACGAGCGATGGCGTTGACTGCATATGACACCTTGTCATACGCGATGCGCGTAAGATCTCGTGAACAATCGTGAATGCAGCCGCATACCTATCAGATGCCTCTGTAGACAAACTATACGCGCGCTGGCGTCTTCTTTCGTCTCGTCGTGGGCATTCAATCCAGGCCGGGACCATGTGATGGATACGTGATGAATCGCGCGTTCAGTGCCTGACCGCTGGGTAACACAATGGAAGGGCAGACGTGTCGTCCGATTCGCGTGTTCTGCCCCTCGCGCTCCCGTCTCGACTTCGTCGTCTTCGTGTAGGCAGGCGCTATCGCACGAATGAATGCAGAGCTGTAGCGAAAGTGACGGCCATATCCAATGTCATTACTGTCTCGCATGAGAAAACGATGGCGCAGGCTGAGTGCCGGCCGTGATCTAAAGGGACTAACCGACGCATAAAAAAGTGAAAGGGTGACTCAGGAAAGAAAATGCTGTTTAGCTAGCGTCAGTACAGAGAGTCACGCAGCGCATCAATGTGCGGTCTTTGCCCACAGCGCTGCGCTGTGAACAAGAGCTTGGTTGCTGTATCGAATTTCTGATGACTCATCATCCTTTGCTGCTCACACATTGGTAATTACGGAAAGAGGAAGCAAACATTAAAGTTTATTCTGAAGAGTGACGTGGGTACCACGGTATGACGAGCATATCTACAGGTGATGCGCAATATCTTGGTCACTGAGAGTGATAATGATGATGATGATGATGATCCTTATAATACTGGCGCACAACCATAAAGGAGGATCGGCCAAGAACCGTGCGGCAGGATCGAGAGGAAGTTAAATGATTTGGATTTTTCTTAGTTTGTTGAACAGTTGAGAGGCCACTGGATGTTATTTCAAGAGAGAAATTCACGACAGTGACTGCACTCGATACTTGAAGCAGTTGCTTTTTAGTGTAAATAACGTCCTGAAAATATTATTGCACACTTTCAAGTAAGAAAAGGCAAATTAAACAAAATTGTTTTCACTTTATAATCATTTATTAGGCACACTTTTGGAGTTGTGGATAATTCCATGCACCAACCGTAATTTCCTCTCTGAATGATTAAACACCTGTACTGAGGAAACGTCTATAACACTGCGGCCAGATTTCGAGTACGAATCGGTGTAGCTTTCGCAAAGCTTTGTGTCGAAACTCTGTGGCTTCCAGTGTCGAAACCAAACCCGTACATTGGGAGGCCTGCGCAGTCGCGTACCATTGTGTTCTGCCCAGCCGTCTGCCGGGGAATCTGCAAAAACGCAAGAGAAGCTCCGAAAGTGTCCGCGACGGGGTAGAGGTGAATGTCGAATGGAAAGCCTGCGGATGTCGGCTATAGACTCTGCTGCAGGTTTCGTTACCTGTACATGAATCGCTCAAGAGGCTGTACTATGTATACGGGTCCTGAGCGGTGGCTGCAAGGGCCCGTATAGATGCTGTCCTCGAAGAAGTTTCATTGACTTGTCGTGAATCGAACCTTCGACCTCGTTCTCGGCAGTGAAATATTTGCAGAACGCCATCTATCGTGGGCAGACGGCGTATATTACGTTGTTGCCATGCAGACTGATTGTGGCTTGTTAAGCTCCTTACAAGCCTGTATTGGAATGCATGTGTGACTTTTCTTCTAAACGTGCATTTTTGCTGCTAGCAAGAAAGAAAGAAAGAAATGAAGAAAGAAAGAAAGAAGGAAGGAAGGAAAGAAAGAAAGAAAACGGGTATGCAAAAGAGACACGAAGGAATGTCCACAAGATGGCCGCATTGTTATGACCAATTCTTCTCAGCAGATAAGCACGTCTTCATTTATTTCTTTCTGACGCACTTTCTTGTTATTCAGTAACACTGCAAAAAACGTGCTTTCGTCGATTTCCTCTGCACTGCCTTGAACCGCTTACGCAGTGAAGGAAACGAATTCTTCCCACGTTCGTTAAACGGGGTTACTGAACGCGTTCCATCGTCTGCCTGTAGAGTGTAAACAAAGAAAGATGCCCGTCGCTTGAACTCTCTCCCTTTTGTGCGAGCGTTGGCGTATATCGCAACACTTCGATTGACAGATGATTGATTGATATGTGGGGTTTAACGTCCCGTAACCATCGTATGATAATGAGAAACGCCGTATAGTGGAGGGCTTAAGAAATTTCGACCCCCTGGGGTTCTTTAACATGAGCCCAAATCTGAGCCCACGGGCCTACAGCATCTCCGCCTCCATCGAAAATGCAGCCGCCGCAGCCGGGATTCGATCCCGCGACCTGCTTCGTTTGACAATGGCCTCATCGTGATGGAGACACGTACACAGAAAGTGAACGTGACGAGTGGTGACGTCCGCAATTCGTGCGCCGACACGCGCACCAAAGGCCTCAAATAACGACCGCACTCTTCATCTCAGTTCGAGGCCTCTTCAGGTGAAGGAATGCTTTCAAAACGGGTGGTTTTTTGACTGCATAACTTATTTATTATTTTTATTTCATTATTAGGCACCTGCATCGCCATTAGCAGGCATTACAGCAGGGCGGTATATGCACCAGAAGTGAACAGTCATTCATATTCAGCACACAAAGCATGGTAAAGGTCTTTATTACGTTGTATTTCTACAATATCCGATAAAAGAGCGTTCAACTTGATCATGGTTCTACAAGAAAGTGAACAGCGAAAAATGCGTTACGTTTGAAAGCAAATTCATGAACTTTCAAGGCACGGTCCTTCCTACGTGAAATATATGAAATATATTTGTGTCTCGAGAGTGATCATTAGCATTTTGAGTTAAATATTTCTGGGTAGTTGATGCGCGAATGGCAT